GAAATCTGGAGGGAGGCAGAATATAGTTTAGGGCAATCAGACCAGATTACAGAACTTTCTCCAAAACACTTCCAAGTTTCAAGAAAAGCTAGGATATCAGATTTCTTCTTCTCATACAGCTACCGACAACTTAATCCAGGATGAGCAACAAGGTTCATTTAACAGTTACTTGCTAGAACTGTCAACATTTCCTGTCAACATTTCCTATGCGATTATAAAGTGCTGATGTTCCCTATAGGCAGTTATCAACACCTACTGAAATACAAAGTCTTCATTGCATGTTTTCACAAACTCAAGATTCCCTTCCTGTCATATTGCAATCACATATGTCTCCAGTGTGACACTGCCCCACCTTCTGTTTGCAGTTTAAAACTGAGAGCAAAACCTCTGAGGTTGTTCTGTGAGGGTCTCAGTTCTGTGGTCACTGTGCTCCCACAAAGACAGCTTTGCAAGGCAAGTATCTGAGCCTTAATGTCAGAATTTTCTCAGCCGTGGTGCTGGACATTCTGGAAAATGGTGATTTATCCCAGAAACCCTGGTTCCTTGACTAATCTTAACTAGAGCGTTGCTAAGGCAATGCTATCAGGAGTGTGCTCTTCTGAACTGATTTTGCAGTATGCTTTTCAGTATTTGCATACTGAAGCCATTATCTTTGTTCTTGCAGAAAGGGTGAGAGAGAAAGGAATAGTTTTCTTTCTGGTTATATAGGAAATCATGCTAAGCAGAAAGATGTATTTTACCAAAACTCATTTAATGAAAAAATGCAAACAAATGAAAGCAGCATGTTTAACAGAAGTAAGTAAAATTCATATCATGTTATACCTTAGAGAGAAGGCATTCCTTCTGTAATTATTTCTGAAGTACTGTATGACACTTGTATTATTCATTGGGACATAAAGGAAATTACTGACCAAACAGTTTTCACTGTTGAAACTCCCTTGCGCTTTTCACCATTTAGGTTATTTTTAATCTGCCCTCAGTACACAAAAGTGATTTTCTAAACCCTGGCTGTAACAAGCGGTGTGTTCAAGGTATTGATTCTGCATTTACTGCTATGTGACACCTACATGATTTTTTTGTATTAAAAAAAAAGGATTATCTCACATCAGTATAATGACTTCAGAAAGATAACTGCCTATTTAAATGGTTTAGTGGTGTTTTCAATGGCAAGAAATCATTCATCAATACAATTCTAATTCTAAATCAAAAATAGTGCAAGCCATCTGCAACAATTGCTGCAATTTATCAACACAGAAAATCCCCTGTGCCTCCTTGTTCATCACTCCAGAATTTGCATTTGTATTCTACTCTTTCATTCAGGTTTTTATAGCTTGCTAACTACCAAAGTCCCTGATGACTAATCTTTTTTTTTTATTTTCCCTGTAGTGCTTGATATCAAGAAAATATTTTATGCTACCTATCTCTAAATGGGTTGAATTACTGTACAGATGTGTTTTTCTCCTTCTATTCACTATAGCAGGACCTTAAATGACTAGCTGAGTGAGATAAATCTCTTTAGTATCTTTGAGATAACTCCTTTTAAACACAGATTAAATTGTTTAGTAAGTTAAGAATTATTAGAGTTTCCCCTAGTAAGTCTAACTGTATAATTGTAAGTTCATTGGGAACACAGGTTAAAAATACTTGAAAATTATATTTAATTTTCTAAATATGTTGCTCAAAACAAAATTATGAAATTGTATGATCTTGCTGAAAGAATCACTTAGTGATTTTTCCACAGAACTTCATAAAATCACAGAATCAACTTTTAAAATCATCAAGTCCAACCATTAATCCAGCACTGCCAAGTCCACCACTAAACCATGTCCCCAAGTGCCACATCTATAGGGATGGTGACTCAACCACTTCCCTGGACAGTCTGTTCCAGTGCTTGACAACCTCTCTCGTGAAGGGGTTTTTTTTCCTATGCAATACACATAGGAAATATATTTTCATATAGGAATATATTCTTATTCATATGCAGCTGCAAGTTGAAAGCTAAATATCAGAGTGTACTTTTGATTTTTACAGACATATACACTATGTTTTATATACCCACCCTCTACATTTTTAGTTTGAGCAAATGTATAATGATGACTAGCTGAAAACTCTTTGTTTTTCTACTCACTCACCAGATCTCTCTTTTATTCTCGTCTGCGAAAAAGCTAAATATTTCCCCCTAGTCCCCTGAAAAACTCTCGAAAATACAAGAAGGATTTTAACAAACCTACATGCTTAAACACCACAAAATTTTCTGTGTATTTTTACCAATGTTTTACCTCCTAAAAATATATTAAAAAAGAAAAATCAGCTCTACCTTCCCCAAGTGTATCTGTAAATATACACCGATGATTCTGATAGCTTCAGTAAAAACAAACAAACAAACAAACAAACAAAACAAAACACACAAAAAACAAACAAACACCAAAAAACCAAACAAAAAACCAAAAAACCAAAACAAACAAACAAACAAACAAAAAAACAAACAAAAAAAAACAACAAAAAAAGCAAGAACCTAGAAAACAAACAAACCAGCAAAACCCAGAAAATACATCTATTTTCTTCTGCTCTTTCCGTCTCCCAAAAATCAAAACAAGATAAAAATTAAACATTTCACTAAATCCTTAAGCACTCTTCTTTCCTTTCCGGCTAGCAAACAGGAGAATGTATTAACATTCAGCTGGAAGACTGAAGGAAAGACTTGAAACTGCAGAAGAAAAAGCCATGGCATGGCATGCGGGCTCCAGGCTTGCCCAGACTTCACAAAGTAAGCCTAGGACTCTTCATCCTGTCTTCTAGACTCCTGGCAAGTATGAACCTTTCAGCTGTGCTGGCATTCTTTCCTTTATGGGAACAGTAATCAAACCTCTCTGAACCATAACTCATTATAACTGGTGAGGAGGCAATGCCGTATTTAGTACGGATTAGAAATGTACTGGACTGGTGCAGCCCAGCTTCTAGTAAAGGAGATTATCTCACTGGTAATGTCTCCTGGAATGCTTGGCAAGGTGTAATTGGATTGTTAAAGAGAGTACTAGCAATTGGATGAAAATAAAGACTTCTGATACTGTAAGCATGCACGTCAATCTGTGCTTTACAGGCTGACAGGAATAACACTGTCTGAAACCGTAAATTTTCTAGATCAATATTCTGTCTTCAAGACTTTTCTTCAAACTCAGTTTTATTTTTAAAACAATTCAGTGAAACAGAAAAGTGAGATGTGAAAGATTTTGTTCTCTTTTTAATTGGCTGTTTAGAATAAAATATGTCCTGCCTACCTAGAAAACATCATGGTCTTAGCACAACACTAAAACTGGCAAAAATGTTTACTGTCTGAAAGCCATGGATCAGATCAGAAAAAGCAGTTAATTATTTCCACCTCGCTTACAACAGATAATCATTCCCACTAATAGAGCATGCAGCCTCCTCTAGGCTCAGTAAACTCCCATTAATCTTCAGAATCCAAAGCACAAAAAAAGTCAGATGGTAACACTTCTGTAAGCATAAGAAACAGGAATAAAAATCCTAAGAGCCCTGCATCATAATGTTCATTATCCCTGCCTATGTTAAAAGGCATTATCACATCTTTATCTACCTTCCCTATTTCTAAAAGTGGGTAAGAAGCAGAAAAGGCGTCAAAGATTTCAGCAGATGGCAGATTAAGGAAAAAGTCATTCTGAATCTAAAATGATTTGCACTTCATTTTCCACTTTAGAAAACAAAATGGCCAAAACATTTGCTGGTTTTCTCTTGCTGTTTTTATCTCAAGATTGCTTTCTTGAAATACAGGGCATGAAGTATGAGCGATAAGGAATAAAATTTAAAAAATTAAAACAGATATTCCCTTTATTGATGCAAAAATTCACTGCACAATGAGGAATTTTCCAGTGACTATACTATGCAAAATGTTACTGCAACTATTCATCTATGTTATCACAGTTGATACAAAATTGGGAGTACTGACTGATACAAGAGAGGACAGTGTTGCCGTTTAGAGGGGCCTCAACAGGCTGCAAAAATATGCAGAGAGGAATCATCTAAAGTGGGAAATGCAAAGTCCTGGCCTGGGGGAGAAGTATCCTAGGCAGCAGTATATGCTGGGGTGACTGCCTAGGAAGTAGCTTGGGAGAGAAACACCTTGGGGTCCTGATGAAGAAGGTAACCACAAGAAAGCAATGCTTCTTTCTGCAAAGGTGGCCAATGGCCATCTGGGGTGCATTAGGAAGAACTCTGCCAGCAGGTCAAGGGAGGTAATCCATCCCTTCTCCTTAGCAGTGGTCAGACATATCTGAAGTGCTGTATCCGGTTCTGGACTCCTCAGTACGAGAAAGATTGGACTTCCTGGAACCAGTCCAGTATGGAGCTATGAAGATGATTAAGGAACTGGAGCATCTGACAGATAAGGAGAGAGCTGCCACGGTTCGGCCCAGGGAAGAGAAGGCCTAGGGATCCTTATCAAGATGCATAAATATGTGATGGGAAGGAACGAAGAAGAGGGAGCCAGGCTCTCCTCAGCGGTGCCCAGTGAGAGGACAAGAGGCAGTAGGCACGAACTGAAACGTGCAAAATTCCATTTGGTCACAACTAAGACTATTTTTTTATTGTGAGAGTGGTCAAACACTAAATGACTCCACGATTTTGTGACCAAGGTTTAACATTTTCCCATCTATTTTTAGAACTACTATTTTTAGTCCAGCGACTCCATCTCACATGCCTTACTGCAGATTCAATCATAAACCCTTTACTCAATTAAAACTTTCACTACATGATTCTACCCAACATTCAGATCTTATGTACCTTCTACTTAAGGATTTTATTCTATATTTTATAAATTTATAAGCAACTGCACATCTGAAAAAATACAAATATAAGCAGGACTGATTGTTTTGGCTTCTGGACCAGGTTGCTGCTATTTTTTGTCATGAAAAAACAAAGACTATGAAAGTTTTTCAATTACACTGTGATTTGTTGTTGAGCCAACTAAATGTCACAGTACTCACCACAGGCATATGATCAAATGTGCGAACAATGGACAATTTATCTACAAATAAGCAGAAAATGTGACCTGTTGATATAATGTCAACATATAAGCAATAATTCTATTGAAAAAGTTATGAATATCCATTTCTACCTGCTGGATTTCCACGAATAAGCTCCACCTTATCTTGAAGGATATTAATTTGCCTTTCCAGCTGTTTGTTCAATTCTACTTGTGTCTCATATCTGGTTTTCCATTCATTACCTTAAAAAAATAGAGAATTATATTTCCCAGATTATTTCATGTCATTTTAAGTAAAAGAATTTTTTAAAACTGTTCCTTTTAACTAACTGGAGACTGAGAAAGTTAGTAATCCTCATAACAAGGATCTTTGCATACAAAAGAGCCTGAAAATATAAATCAAGGAAAATTTTCACTGGGCTTACTGTGGCCAGAATATTAACCAACTCATGTTATTCATGTTATTCATAGTTTCATTAATAATTAACAGAAAAAAAAGCTAACGTGGCTGCATGTAGCACTCCTTAATTTCTGATTTGAAACATCACAGTCATGTTTGAAAAGGGAAAACTTAAATTTCAAAATAAAAATTTGAACCTCTATACTGTAAGGGCTTCCCAAAAGAATAAATTTTCTGTGTTTCCTAATCAATTAGCAAGATCCTGTTGTAATTCTCTTACCTTCATCTTCAATACTGTTAAGTCTTTTTTCCAGTTCTGTTACAGTGTTTCTCAGTTCAAATATTGAGATTTCAAGCATCTGCCTGTGGTATTTAAAGGAGGCAATAAATTGGCTATTGCATTAGTCCTGTTACTGAAATTAGAAAAAACAGATCAAACATATTTTCAGAAGAAGTGTCTATTGGTCATTCCTATGTAATTACATTATCTTGTCCATTTTTAAATGTTCTTTTCTCTATGGATACTACAGTGCCTTAGAAGCACTTCTACTTTGTGAATAAGACCGCTTCCATAAAAACCCAAGACTGACATTTCCTAAAATAGAATAATTTTCTAACAGGTCATCAGAATTAAACAAATGTAGAGAAGACACTGGCCTTAATTTTTCATCTAAAAGAAAATGAACGTGTTTTTTAAAACAAGAATATGCCTGAGAGATGTGCTATTTGAAGTTGTGAATTAATACCTCATTTTGACTCACTGTTCAATGATTAACAGTCATTTTCTAAATTGCACCCATAACAAAACCAATCAAAACAAACCATGTTTTATGACTATCAGAAAAGAAAGCCAGTAATTAAAGTGAGTGTTAAAAAATATACAGTAGCTAAAGCCACAATTCTTTTTCAGTACCTTAAGGAAAAAATACTTTTGCCCACTGATTAATTCTGTATACGGGTCAGCCAGGCAGTGAAGGTACCATGAAAACCAGGCTCTTTCTATCTTGGAAGGTATGACCAGAAGCAGAAGGTAGCAGAGGACTTTGATGCATCAGATGTGCTGGGTGACTCTTATCCTTCAAAGTGGCAAGATGGGAGTTTAGTGTGTTACAATGCATCATATGATCTTGATCACGTCAAGAGGAAATTACTGCTAAGTTGCTGACCATATTTTTGCCAACAGCCTGGTTCTTTGAGGAGATGCCTATGGAGAAATGCTCCTGCCTGTGAGATCTCAGACCACATCAGGAGGAGCGCAAGCAAAACACAACACATCAAAATGCAAAAGCAATTTGTGGTTTTGTTCTTTAAAGTTAAATTTGGAAGACCAAGATTTCAAAAAGCAACCAGTGGCTCCTGGGTGCCTCAATGTTTCAGAGCCCAAACTGAGATAGTCCAAAAGAACTGAGAACACAACTCTGTAAATAAAGCCCTTTTGAAAATGCTCTACAATATCAATATGATGATTGACATCTTTGAAACCCTAGTCTAGTTCATTAAAACATGCAACAGAGAAAATTATTGTGCTTTATATTTGTTTCATGGGGGGAGAGTTTTTTTTTAAAGCAGAGCTTCCATTGCCAACATAGATCTTCATTTTCCTAATAGTTCATGAGCAATGCTCTTCAAGAAACAGTTATCTAGCCTATGAGAAATCAGAGCTCTGATAACAGAGATGATGACTGAGAAATAGTATCACCTCTTGCACTCCTTGCACCAACCCTCAGTAGATGACACTTTTTCATAGCTTGAAACAACAGATTTCAACTGGAAACAAATCAACTGATGATAAGGAAGTGAAGATCTATGCTTGGAATAAGGACGGCTGAAGAGCTGGGTCTTCCAAGCCCTCCTTGCTCCACTGTTCTTTTTGCCCCTAGCAACATTAAATTAGAGAGGAAAAGAAATAATGACAGCATTGGTAACTTGCTGGAGACAAAAAAAGGATGCCCTTTTGGATGAAACCCAGCCAAAGACAGCCTTGAAATATCAGTCAAAAAGCTTAGATGCAGGGAAACCAAAGGAAATCTGATTGCTGCTGCCTGTTTGCTCTCACTCCAAATAAAAGAGGCAGATGGCTAGGAAGAAGAAAGATAAAATCTTACTACATTGCTGCTATCATTCCGACACAAATAGATAAGGTTTCTGCAAAGCATATTCTATCAACCTCTCAGAGTTTGGAAAAGAGGAAATCGTGATGACAGTGAGTGCTAAAATTAAATTTTTTGAAGGAAATAACACTGAAAATTAGAAACATATAAAGCTGTAACCAGAGCTGAGCTGTACCAAAATGAAATTGTTTTCCTTTTCAAAGAAATCTTAACTAAGTGCTCAGATGGATGCAGAGGGATAACACATGAAGACAGAGTTCTTTAAATCCAATGTTTTCAGTTTTTAATTTCTGTTAATTCCAAGACTATATACAATATTTCTTACATTAGATTTTATTATTCTTTCTGCACCATTAGCAAAACTGCAAGCCAAATTACAATTATATTTTGTCCTGATGAATATATCTACAGAAATGATAAATTGTCAGGTGTCACACTGTAATTGCTACACTGACAGAAAGTCTTATTTCCATTTGGCAACAGAAACCCATTTTAAAAAACTAATTGTTATTAAACATTTAATACTCCAATAGCACTTAGAATGCATCCAGGGTGCAATCTTTCCATTTTAGTCAATGTATATGCAGTAAAATACAATCCCTTCTCTGGCAGACAAAGAATGTAGAAATACACCACTTTGACCAACTCAGTAAATATTTCAGCTTTTTAATGTATCAGAGTATTTTGCATTTCTGGAGTTATTTCTAATTGTGATAGGAAGTGGTGGTCATGCCATGTATCTGTTAGTGTGAATTTAATGCAGCTGTGTACAGCTGCCTGCCTGCCCAGAGACTTGATCTGTACTTAGAGGGACTGCGCTGTGATTTTACCTGCAACCTTATGTGTTAAACATAATGAGACATATTCAAGGCCTATAAATCTTTTCTATGTCAATGGACAATTTATAGTCATCACAGCAGAAAGCCATAAATCCTGAAAGCTCACATTTAAGTCATCAGGGGAACTTAACAACATCCTTGCATACTAAGCGTAACAAGAAAGCTCTTGTGAGAAAAGAAGAAGGAAAGTGCAGTTCAGATAAGCAGGCTCTGATTGAAACTACAAAAGAGAAAAAAATGCTAAGTTTCTTTTTAAGGCAGTGTACAGGTGCTATTTTACTTGACAATGACAGCCACTTAGGATGAAAGCCATTTCCCTGCACATTTTGCTACCCAGACTTGGATATCTGGTACATGTATCAGGCAAAAGGCTGCCTGAAGCAATTTTCTATAGTTGAGAGAGAAACCAGTGAAACATTACAGGAGAAGCTCAAGGCAAGTCATCAGTTCTAGGGCATCAGCTCAATAATCTGGCAGACCTTTATTGAGTCCTGTAGAAGACAAAATGCATAGATGCCTTCAGAATCTATGAACAAAGCAGAAACAATATTGCACAGTGCAGAGGCACCACATGGAAGAGCACATACAGTATTGAAAGCTATGGACTTGTGACACTTGCAGTCAGCAGTGTGCTGGGAAAATGCTGCAGCTTTCCTGGCAAGAAAAGCCACAGAAAACGAAGTCTCATAAGCTGAATTAACACACAATTCCATCAATATTAGTAAGTAGCTGCCATGCATAAGTATATGTCTTTAAGACCTCTTTGTCTGTTAAGGATACTGCAGTATTTTGTGCCTTTTCTCTCTCTCTCTCTCTCTCTCTCTCTGAAACATTTGTCATGACATTTCCCAATCAAAATGTGTACTGAATCTTGATTACAACAATTCAGAGTCATATTTGAGCTGACTTCCACTAGAGTCAGAAAAGATTTTGAAAGATTTCACACTAGATCCACAATCACTGAGAATCAGTAGGTACTTTGAAGACAGACTCCTTACACACATGGATGATTCAATTTATTCTGTGAAGAAAAAAATCTCCTCGTGACTGTTAAATGAGAGTGGTAGATGGGCTGTTAGCAAACTGCTTAAATGGCACAATAATCAAATAAGCCAGTAAAAAGACAACAGGTGTGAGATGGCTGTGAAGGAATGCAGACTCCATTTGCAAGCCACTCATCCTCAGCTCGCTTTATACCCAAGCAAAAAAAACTGGCACCTGCTAGGGTGTGAGTCATGTCATGCTAGAACAGCCAGGCAAAGTAGGTCAGATGAATCACACCTTCCAAAAGCCTTTCTGTATTCACGGACTATGCATGTCACTAGTTTAACAAGCCTGGTCATTGGCAATTATGTTGAATAAATAACTCCTGTGAAATTGGCAATAATGGTATTGTCTCTTTGTACACACGAGAAATACACAGGAAACAGCTGTAGAATCCGCCTGGAGTACCTTTTACTGTCATGCCATCACTGTTAAGGATTTTATTAAATATATATTTTGCTTCCATCAGTAAATAAGTCACCACAACTTGACCTGAACTTTGGGCAAAGTCTTGCAGAAGATCCTCAGGGATATTAGCAAGAACTTAAGGTATATATAAATGGGCCTCTGGTGGTCTAGTGGTTAGAGTGTCTGACTCTCACTGCTGTGACCCAGGTTCGATTCCCGGCCCCCTGGGCAGGTGGAGCTCGTCAGCCGTAGAAGGCAATCCACCTAAGAGAAGGTCACTCTAAACAAACCTACATCCTGGGGACCTCACTGCCACTGTCCAAGCTTTGCTCGGCCCCGGCAGATGAACCTCAGGACTAAAGGGTGGGCTCAGTTCAGCACACACTGTGTCTCACCTAAAAATCCACTGCGCAGGCTGGAAGGGTTAATGACCTTTCCCAAATCTTCGCTCGCGAAGACTGGCCATTATTTATTAAGGTATATAAATAATCCAGGTTTTCATTAATTTAAAAAAAAATACAAATTCAAGCAGTGAAACAAAGCCAATACAATTCTACTTTTTACCTGAACACCAATAATATCAGGATCATGTGTCAGGTAAAAAGAACTGGTACATGCAGAGGATAACTGATATATTACACTGACACACTACTAAGTCAGGGAACTTACTGAAATGAAATTTGCTTACAAGGTGGTGCAAGTATGTCCAAAGTCCTTTTTGTGCCATTTTGAACACAGAAGGTGCCTATAACCATTCTGACTTTGTTAATATTGGTTTCCCCCTTTCCATTTGTGAATAAACCTTTTATAAAGTCCACAACTGTAGGACTAATTTGAAGAGATCTGCAGTTCAGACACTGAAAGAAACACTGTTCAGGGGAAAACTCAGTATGAACAGAATGCTTGAAAATAGTAAGGAAATGTAAATATCAAGGGTCTGAATTAAGGCTGCATGGGAGCTTCTGACATTTCCTAAGTTTTAATTTACTAACACTCAAAAGGCAATCGTGTTGTTTAACATAGGGGAAAAATGTATAACTTCCTAAGCAAACTGGGGAAAAACCAACCTAGAATGCCATGGCATGAGCATTGATAATCCTCACAGCACTGAAGCATTTGCTGCTTAAGCAAGGGGACTGACTGCTAACACTAACAAGTCCTCACCTCTGCAAACTGCACTACAGAGATGTTGTACCTTCCCTGTAAATTGCAGAGCTATTTACTGACAGCAGAGAGGGGTGAAAATCCAGCTTTCCAGTTTTACTCAAAACCATGGAAAAAAGAGTGCATAAAGAGCACCTCATTGTCCATTTTATTCATCTTCCGCCAATGAGGCGTGCACCCATGGGAGGGTTCCTCTATTCTGCCTCCAACATGGCTTCCAATCACAGTGTACTGGTTTTGCGTTGGATCCATTTAATTCTCTGGTATGGGACTATGTTTTGGATTTGTGATGAAAAGAGTGTTGATAACACAGGGATGTTTTAGTTACTGCTGAACAGCGCTTACACTGTGTTAAAGCCTTTTCTGTTTCTCACACCAGCCCACAAGCAAATGGGCTGGGGGAACACAAGAAGTTGGGAAGCGACACATACGGGGCAGCTGATCCCAACTGACCCAAGGGATATTCTATACCATGTAATGTCATCTTTGGAAATAAAAACTGGGGTGGTGGGGCTTTGTGGGGCTGCCTTGCTCTGGAAAAGGTATTAGCCCGCTGGTGGTGAGCACCTCGGAGGTTTTTAATCATTTACTGTTCTTTGGTTTCTTTTTTATCTTTTCTTTTGCCTTTGTCTCAACTCACAGATTTTCGCACCTTTACCCTTCCGATTCAATCCCCCATCCCACCGGGAGGGGAGCGAGCGAGGGGCTGTGTAGCGTTCAGCTGCTTGCTGCGGTTAACTGCAGCTGGTCCTATTTTCCTTTTCGGCTGATATTACTTATCCTGCTTCTTCAGGCTCCTTGTCCCACCCCCAGCCCTCGGGCCAGCCCTTCCTATTGCGCACCAGTCGTAGGCGCGGTCCGACCACAGCCGTGCCTGGCAGACCCCCGGCCCAGAGCACCCGCCCGCGGCAGAGGCCGCCATTTTGCCGCAAGGAGGCGGCGGGCGGCCCCGCACGGGCGGTGCTGCAGAGCGGCTCCCGGGGCCGCTGCAATGCGGCCTCGCCCCGTCCCCCGCCCGCACTCACTTCTTCTGCCTCTCCTGCCCCAGCTCCAGCGCCAGGCGGTCGGGCTTTGCCGCCCGCCGCTCGCCGCCTTCCCACATTGCGGCCACCGGTGCCCGCCCCGCCCGCAGCCTCCGTGTCGGCCGGCGTTGCGCGGGGCGACGGCTGCGAGCGCCCGGCGGAGCCTGAGGGAGCGGCGCAGTGGGGCCAGAGGCGGGCGGGAGGGCGGCAGTGTTGACCCTCGGCTCGGGCACTCCTTTCTCCGCAGCCCATGTGGCTCTCCCTCTGCTCAGGGCGAGACAGGGCCGGGAGCGACCGGCAGCCGGTGTCATCTTCACCTGCTCCGGCCCCGGCGTGCGCTGCCGCGTCCCGTTTGCCCGCGTGTGCAGCGGCGCTCGCCCGCCGCTGCCGGGACGGCCCCGCGTATGACGGCGCTTCTCTGCCCTCTCACCAGCGAACCCCCCGGCACATGGCTCGGGCAGCACCAGAAATTGATGGGAAAAACATGAAACAGCTTTGGCCCAGTTACAGAGGCCATGTAGGGCGAACTGTTGTGCCGAACTTTCCATAATTTGGGGAAACATGGTTGTGTGACGGTTGTTTTAAAAACACTTACTCTGGATGGAAAGTAGCACGGTTTTAAATAAACGCCGTGGCCCACGTGTGAAGTCAGGCACAGTGTGGCAGAGCCCAGTCTTACAACATGCCTAGTCTGCATTTAGCACCCTCAGTAATTGTGATCTGTGTTGTGCACAAACTGGTTTGGCAGACCCTAACTTGAGACAGAAAAGCTTGGAATAATCAGGTCTTAACACTGATCAAGTCAATGGAGTTAGTTAGTCAATATATAATGGCAAATATTTTATCTCTTACCTTGGTCTGGATTCATACTTAAAAAATGTTTGATGTTTCACTTTTCAAACAAGAAATTTTAGATCAGTTCAGGGCATTCTCAAGGTAAAGATTTCTGAGGTAATCCATCAGTTTTAATGCTGCAAGAGTGGCATCACCTCTGTCAGGTTCTTCATGCTACCTTCTCCCATGTGCTTCAGTGCCAGCTCTTGACATTTATGCAACTCTCCAAAGAGCCAGTACAGCTCCTGAAACCCTGAAAACTTACATCAGGGAAAATGTTTAATGTTTGTAGCTTCTGTTGGTTGACGAGCTGAAAAGGCTCGCCAGCTGCACAGAAAAGCACTGGACTTTATGCAAGGGACAGGGTTAAAGTGGGAGTGATTAGTGCACTCTTAGATCAACAGATAGTGAACTATCTGTTCACTTTCTCAGGAAGGAGATGGACTTTAATTTTCCTTTACTGATATATTATGAAAAAATGACGGGTGTAGTTTCTCAGTTCACTAAGTTTGTTGCATGAGTAGTGAGCCAAATGCAATAGCCCTACCACTTGTTGGGTAACAGAGGCACTGCTTTTAAAATTTAAAACATGGGTTATGTATCACCATTACTTTAACATAGCATAAATCAGTACTGCCATCCAAAAGCCAGCCCTGAAATGTTGTGAATTGTAATCCTAAAGTGGGAGTGTGTGACACTGGAGTGAGCCAATCAACACATCACTGATACTGCGAGGCACTAATCCAGCAGGATCTAATGTCTGGGAGTAGAACAGTAGGAATGGAGAGTGGGAAGCTTGATTCTAAGAAGAAAAAGTCATTGTAATTTCACTTGTCTGATATATATTAGAGCAGAATTTGAGTCTCAAGTTATAACTGATGCTATCAGCTAATCAGTGAATTATCACGAGGTGTGGATTGAATTCAAAATTTTCTGAAATAATTTAATCAAGAAACAAATTGAAGAAGAGTTCTGCACTGTAGCTGCATTTAAATTTAGCTGCTCATTTTGCATTCATGTTTCACTGAGTGCTACCTTTTTAAGATTCATATTGACAACACATTTCATACCAAAACAGTAATTTAAGTAATGACTTGGACCTACGTTAGCATTCATAACTAACTCAGGATACTGAATCTTAGCAGCAAAGGTGCTAAACAGTAACCATTTTTCTTGTTACCAGTTTTTGTGAACAACTGCTTCAAGATTAATTTAACCAGCCTGAAGGATTGTTCTCCACAAGGAGGGCACATTCGTAGATCTCAGAAAGAGCCCTGGAATCAGAAGGAAGTCTGAGAACAGAGGGCACAGGGGAACTGAGAGCTCTTTCCCAATCACAGTGTATCTCTCTGCTCCAGGAGACTTTCATTTGACCTCCTGTTCAGGATACTTTCAGGTCTCAGCCTCAACTCAGGGATTACCAGGTGTCTTAACTAGGTAAGCTCCCAGGAACTATGTCACCATGCACATAAAGATGTGCCCAGACCACACCAGTTGGGTTGGTACAGGACAGCAGGTCTAGCGGTGTGCTTCGCCTGCTGGTTTGGAAACTGCAGTGGGAGAAAAGCAACAGTTTCTTGTGAACTAAGGTGTGTGTAAAACTTCAAACCTTCAACATTTTCAACAATCACAGCAGTAACATAGTGACACTTGCAACACAGGAGAATTTTCCTCCATTTTTTTATTCCAAGTAAACCTGTTAAAATAGATATGTGGCTACCTATAAAGGTATTTTTATTGTTTTAAAGCTTACAATGTTATTTTTGAGATTAAAATGTTTAGTAAGAAAAGTTAGGAAATTTGGTCACAACACAATGTGTTTTGAAAGCAGAATTTTATACTTAAATATGTAACTTCATATTATATGAAGGCAATAAACTGCAAGAGTTACTTAAAAGCAAGGCAGACCAGTTGCTGAAGACAAGCATTTGGATTATGACATAAATTACAAAGAAGTAGTTATTTCTGTAGCACCAGTAACTAAAGTATGATGACTGGCTGTGTGGGCAAGGAAAAACTTGTGGATATTGTGTATTTTGACTTTACCAAGGACTTTGATATAGTCTCCCACAGTACCTTTATAGCCAAATTGGTCAGCTATAGATTGGAAAACTGGGTAATAAGACTGATGGAAAATTGACTGGGCCATCAGGCTTGAAGTGTGGTGATCAGCAGTAGGACTGCTTGACTCAGGGATCAGTATCTGAGCCAATACCCTTAATTCCTCATTAACAGCCTGGAAGACTGATGTGGTTTGGAAAAAACCTTTCCCCCTGGGGCTGGTGATAGTCTCCTCCAGAGGTGGTGTTTTTGATACCGGGCTCATTAAAAACTTAGTGTCCTCTGCGGAAATTACATACTCACAGAATCGGAAGAGAAGAGGTTAATTTTAACTGCGTAGCTGGAAGAGAGGCAGCCATGAGTTGAGAGGCCACATATTAAACGGCGGGCCGGGGGTGGGGAGGTGGGTTTCCTCCGGTCCTGACCGTTGGGGCCGGGGGCTTCTTTCCTTTCCCGGCCCTAACTCGGTGGGACCTGGCATGGCTTTGTAGCTGGGCCAGGATGCTGAGTTAACACTGCGCCCCCCCCACACACACACTGCCAGGGGGAGAAAAACGGCAGCGTGGTGCCCGATCGGCCAGCCAGAGGGCTGCAGTCGGTGGGCAGACACGGCGCTGGAGCAGAGCCAGCACAAGCTGAGGGGTGCAGGAGTGGGCCAGGCTGATTAGCCATGATCCTTGGAGAGGCAGCTGCAGCACACAGCCATGGAGTGGCCCGGGACAAGTCGAAGCGGCAGCTAGAACCCTGAGGCGGAGGCAGCCACGAAGCAAACCTCTGCAGAGGAGTAGCCCGAGCTCCCGCAGCAGCTCGAAGCAGAAAGGCCCCCTGCGAAGGGGCAGCAGGAACAGAACAAAACAGACGGAGAGAGAGGTCTGCTGGAACGTTTTCGGGGTAAGAACTGAACCGAAAAAAAACCCCAAAAAACCATTCTGACCCAGGGAGCTTGATCCCCGGGGATAGGGACCCCCCACGGAATGAAGGATAAAGACTTTAACTCCCTACACTCCATGGTACCGACCATGGTGAGCGAGTAGGGGTGAAAGAGAGACCCCCTGCATTCTCATGAAGAGAGATTTTCCAGCTATAACAAATCAAAACTACTGCCTTAAAGATAAGAGATACTTCCAAGTGCCGCAGAAATTAATTTGGAAGAGCTGTGGCCTGAAAGGGAAAAGGAGACTTCTTCTTTCTGGACTTTTTTTTGAAGGAAAGGTCTATGTATATATATATTGTTTCACCATAGAAGAGATAGTTAAAATTGTTATATATATGTATATATGTGTATTAGAGTATTTATTAAGTAATAAATGGTAATATAATTCCCTTCCCCCATACTGAGTTGTGCCTGTCTGAAAACTTCTCTACACACATTAGAACAAATTGTAGAAAAACTTTTGAAATTAGCTTTTTGAATTTTTTTTTCCAAACCACCACAACTGAGCACCTTCTCAGCAAGTTTGCTGCTGCTGCTGAATTGAGAGGAGTAGTTAGTATGCAGGGAGGCAGGGCTACCATTCACAGCAGGGTGTACAGCCTGGAAAAACAGGCTGCTGAAAGGAACCTAAGGAAATTCAACAAAAAACAAATGTGAAGCCCGATATCTGGGATGGGAAAAACCCATGGATCAGTACAGGCTGGAGGCAGTAACCAGAATGCAGCTTCATAGGAAAAGACACAGGGGTCTCTGGTGAACAAGCTGCCATGAGCCAGCAAGACCTTGCAGCAAACAAGGCCAAGCCTGGGCTGCCTCAGCAAGGGCTTGGCCAAGAGCCTGGGGAGATGGTTCTTCCACTCTGTTCAGCACTTACGGGACCACATGCTGGAGTGCTTAGCTTTGAACTCCCAAGGGCTGCCTTAGGTCAGGGACATAGGCACACGTGGCCTATGTTCAGTCTGGAGAAGAGATGGCATAAGGAGATCTTAGTGCTGTAAACAGCTATGTAAGAGGAAAGTGTAAAGAAGACTGAGAAGTCAGACTTTCCTCCAGTGTGCATTATGGAAGGATACGCGGCAATGCACCAAAACGCATATGAAAATCTTTGGCTTAGTATAAGGGAGAAATATTTACCTTTACCAGAGTCAAGCTGGGCAAAGGTTGCCCAGAGGGGCCATGAAGTCTTCACTGTTGGAGATAATCAAAATGTGAGCAGAATTGGCAGAATACTGTGCTCCAGCTGGACCTGTTTTGCAAAGGAGGGTGGATTACAGACCTCTGGAGTCCCTTCCAACACCATTCTGTGGTAAAATGGTCAGCATGTTTTAGTGGAAGGTACTTTTACCAATTCTTTTTAAAGGATTACAGATTCAGTCAAGGAACATTAAGAAATAAGCTGTTGTAAGTTGGTTTTAAACCAGCATTAAACAGACCAACCCACTCTTGGAATCCAGGGTAATCTATTAAAATACAAGGGTTTAGACCTGAGGTAAAAACAGTGGTTTATACCTACAGAATGCTGAAAATGCCACAGACAGCAGTAGCTTAGAATGACTTGGAGGTCATTAAAAGTAATCTTCCCAAGACAAGATTCAACATCAATATTATAGCAGAAAAGACTTTGAATAAATTTGGAAATAGGAATACATTAGGAATAGGTAGTGGTTCATGCAGTACACAGTAAGGAGTCTTATAAGACTTCTTCTAGGATTGCCATACATCAAAAGATGTTCAGTGTCCAAAGAAACAAAATCGAGCTGTGAATAGAAAGCGAACCTAAGATATGAGCTCTAGGGAGCTTAGTGTATAAAAGGGAGAGCTGAGGTAAGGCCCAAGTGTGAGAAGACTGTTGCATATGGTAGAAGAAGTGGGGAGAAGCCTATGGATTTGCTACCCTGGGCCAAACTAGTGACAGCTGAAGCAAAGTAAGTTTGGTAGCATCATATTCAGCTGTGAGAATTAACTAAATTTTGGAACAATGTAAAAGGGAAGATCATGGATGTATCACTTTACAAACTGTAAAATGGGGTAGGCATCATTAAAGAAAGTCTCAAAGAAGATAAATACTATTTTGAAAGACTGGCTACACATGAACAGAACAACAGCAGGTTGAGCAGGACAACAATGCTTGCCTGATACCGATGGCATTTAAGTCTTTTTTTACTCTTGGTCTCTTGAAGACCTTGATCTTAACTGTTGTTTTAAAAGAGCATGAGCTACACACAAAACCAGAGTGGGGGAAGGAAGACCCAAATAATACATCCCTATTGTAAATGCAGTTCATAGCAACAAAAATGCTTTTGCTAGTGTAAAGTTTTAGTAGCCTATAACTGGTTACACATGCTGGCAAGTGGCAGACTACAGTAACAGAAATTGTTGCGGTGTACTTTAGATGGGCTTTTTTAGTTTGAAATATTTTAATTGATGAGCTTGTTTGTATTGCAGACATACCCCAGTACTGTTATTTTATTACTTCAAAAGTCCTAGTTTTTCCACTCACTGATCCGTACAGAAGCTTCCTGTCATAAAAAGGTCAAGAACAGATTAACCAATTTTAATTTCATCTTTATTTCCATAAATCAAAGTTAGACTTCAAGTGGTTAGATCCTTGTGTTTCACATTTCTCACCCTACAGCAGCTACCACAAAATGTGCACCTATTACCATTTTAATAGACAGTTGTTACTGTGTTTTTTTTAATCTGATACAAATATCACTAGCTAACAACCATTCAGTTATTTTCTCCATTTACATGAAATGGAGATAAGTTGTAAATTGATGGCATTCTGTTTGTTGCAGGTACAGCCAATATTAGAATATGTAGCAGCTTTAAAACTCAATAGTGAACCGTTAAATAAGTAGCGGTGCCAAAGCATCTCAAGGATTTGACATACTGAGTTATTTTACACTGGGCTACAAAGAGGATTGCAAATCTACACAGTTGCATCTATTCTACACACCTCTCTCCATTAAAAGGGCTTGCCTTTGTACCCTTTTTAAAGACTTCATACCCTTGTGCAACTATGAATTTAATGGAATAAAGATGATGACTGTTAGAACTATTTGTTCAAATATATACTGTCTTCCATTAGGAGGCCATGATATATAATCTGAATCCTTCTGGATTGCCCGCAAAGTACAGAATGCACAGAAGTTCCTAGTGCATTCTACAGAATATTTTCACAAAAAAATAATTTATGCAAAAACATACTTCTCCTCTCTACATAAAAATCTGAATTTCAAAGAATCTTTGTATATTCCTTATGGAGTCAAGTGGAAAATGCACTTTTCTAGATCTGTAAATACTGTCTTTTAAAAGAAATGCTTGGTATCTTTGGTTTACTTATATGCTGGATGGAAAAAAAAAAGTTTAAAAGGGAATAACTGCCTAGTTACCTGAGGTTCATCTTTCATTTCTCCTGACATGAACTTTGGATAAGATTAGCTGTTTGGTAGCTGAAAAGATAAATTCTCTATAAAACAATGAAACCCAATGCTTATTTTAGTAATGCATATTAAATAAGACAAGGCTAGGTTAGTAAAACTAACTCAAGGATCATTATAAACCCAAAACTAATAATTCTACTTGTTCCAGAATTAGTAATCCTACTTTTTCAGTATCACCACCTTCTTTATAAAGTGTTACAAAAATATTCACAATAGTATTACTATATTAATCTGTTATTCCATATATTATTTTGAAAAAGTGCTTACAGAGGCAAGTATATGAACTGCAAACTCATAATCTTCCAGCTGCCTAAAGCCCTGATCCAGTTGTTTAAAATTCTTGTTCAATACAGAACAAGGAGTTGACAACTTTCATTTTTCCTTCTACGAATGCTCTCCCTATTTTTACATTTTCATGTCAAATTAAGTAACAGTTGCTTGGAAAGTACAGTGTGATTTATGTTCAATTGCAGATGAGCAATGCAGTTACTTGTAAATAGGAAGTTTCATCTCTAATGTAAGGCTTTGAGAAATATTTAATTGCTTTCATTTTTTACCCTTCTTTTCATTATCCAATACTTTATATTCATCTAGGACAGCATGGCCAGTTTCCTTTGCAGTTCTCTTTACAACAGCTTTGATACCAATATTGTCAATGTTCAATGCTGTCACACCAACATTGATTGCAGAATTCATAGCATCATCTGTAGCATGGCCAGCATCCTCTCCATACCTAAAGAAAGAGAGCAGTTTTGTAGATTTGTATACTTAGTTTTTTAATCTTCACTGGAATTCTTTTGAAAGTTTAGGCATTACCAAGAACAAATAATAAGCATAGAGCCTGAATGTCTTAAGAATAAAATTAGAAATTACAAAGCCATTTGAGTAAGGGCTGCTCCTCTATCAGATGGATTACCCTTTAAAAATACCAATATGCTTCTGCCCTTTTTCCTCAAAAAACCTTCCAGTTTTTCTCCCTCTTTTCTCTCGAGTGTCGAAGAGTAGAAGACTTATCTATAGAACCATGAGAAGGGGAAGGGGAGAGAAGTGCAATAACCTCCAAGTCCTTACATAATATTCCTATACCCTCTATATAGAAAGCCAACCGTATCCTGGGCTGTGTCAAAAGCAATGTGGCCAGCAAGTTGAGGGCAGTGATTCTGCACCTCTACTCTGCTCTGGTGAGACCCCACCCGGAGTACTGCATCATACAAAACCCCAAAAGGCTCGACAAAGCTATCTTGAGACTATGATGAAAATTATGAAGAGATAAAAACCTTTGGTTTTATCTCCCATGGGGTATGGGTCCAGCTTCCTTATGCTTTAGGGCGAAGTCATTAGTCTCATATTAACTACTTAATATACTCAACTGTACAGAGAGTTGAGTACTGAAAGAGGACAAGAATACAGTGAGAGCAGTAACTCCAGCTGTTCTGGGCAGCCAGACATTTCCCCAGAGAGCACTGCAGTCAGACAAACCAGGCCAAAGGGAAGTATTCCTGGCAGCATCAGAATTGCAGCAGTCGGCAGAGTTACTTTTTCCCTATGTTTTTCATGACCAGAGATTCTTTGAGGACCTCGAAATAAAGCCAGAGAGAAGCACAGAATATCAAAGAATCCAAAAATCTATAACATTATCAGTTCAGCAGCCAGAACATATGGCTGGAACCAAGAATGAAACCAAATAAAAAGAGTTAGTAGGTTTTTTTGTTTTGCTTTTAATTCTCTGATAGAGCAACAGCCTTGAATCACCAACACTGGATCTGCAGATCACAGAATTAATCTCACAGCAAAGTGCAGTATTTGTCAATTTAATTAATTATTTTCACCTCAGGAGCATCATAATCCAGTATATAATATCAGTAAAACAGGTAACCTCATTTAAAGCAAGACTCTAGTTTATCCAGTACAGTAAAACTAACAACTTCTTAATGTCTGATAACTAATTTTTTAGTTTGCCAGTCTCAATTGCATACTTTACTTTTTTTTTAAGAAAAAAGTTGTGCACAGCTATATACTGCATTTATTTAAATTGTTTGTAAAAAAGACAGCAGCATAGGACTTGAAATATTACTTCTGAAGCTATGTTTTCCCCCAATTCCGATTAACATGCAAATGATGAGCATCTCTATATAATTCCAAAGGTATTGTAGCTAAGTTTTAGCCAAGTTTTTTTTGATTTAGAGACACTGTGATGGTGTTCCTTTAATGTTGTTCCATTAAGGGGAATTTGGCTCATTCACTGGTATTTTGAATGGCAGAAATCTTTGTCAGTGACAAAAAACAGCTTCCAAAAGAGAGATTATGTAGAATTTTAATACAATTATAAAGATAGGTTTTAAAGATTAAATATCATTTTCCATTGTATTGCAATTAGCTGCAACATTTAATTACTTATTGTTTTTCACTGAGTGTCTGTTGTCTGCTCATCTCCATATTTTCCGTTTTTATATCTAAACCAAAAACATTAATTTGAATTTATGTGAAATGAGTACCAGTACAATACCTCCTGACATTCCTACCTACTGAAAACAAACATTAGCATTAAAGCACCACTGACTAGAACTTTACTATCTGGCCTTCTATTTGAAATGCATCACAACACAACCCTGAACACCAATCTGTTTAATACTGTATGCTGATGTTTATCTTGTTACCTTCTGCTAGGAGCCTGTATGCACCTTCAGCCAACCCTTTTTAATATCTCTTTTGCTACGATTATCACCTGTTCAATTTAACCTACATGCTTTGGCTTACTCTTCACTTTCTATTAAACCTACTGCACTTTTTTGAGGGGTGCATTTCCTATCTTTCACAATTATTTCAATTCCCTTTTTCTCCATAGCCTCTTCCAGTACGCACACTCAGCTTTCATCTTTCCATCATCTTAGAAACATCATCTTAATCCCAAATGTCACTTTCCTCTTCCCCCACTATCTTTTTCTAAGAACATCTGTATTTTGCAAGTCGAGGCTGTTCTATTATTGCCATTTATGCCTTAGATTTCCTTACACAGTTTTCTTTTTTTTGTACCTCCTCACTATAGCCAGACCTGCTGATAGATGAAGTTCTTCCATTTTTCTTAACTTTAGCTAAGTTTGCAAAAATTCAGGATTAGAGCCAAGAGGTTTAAACTAGTAACTTTTTTCATGACATTATACTGTAGAGCGAAGATAAAAATCTGAACATTATTTGTGACAGCCTGAAGCTGTAATACTTCTGCAAAAGAGAGCTAAAAAAATACTTCATACAGTCATTCACTCATTTCATATTTTTGCTTACAGGAGATGCTCATTAGTGTGCACTTAGCACCTTATCATGTGCTACATAATTATAGCAAAGCAGGTATTTCAGATGGTTTCCCTGAACTTTCATAAGCTCCTTTTTGCCATTATTCAAACAGAATGACAATGTACCATAGAAGATAAAATCAATAAAAATATAACTTACTTGTATTTGACAGTTTTTACAGTCTCAGTTGAAACACTTTTAGCAATGCACTTCGCTGCACTTTCTAAACCTTGCCACACTGTTGAAAACCCTGTAAAAACGATCAGCTTGAGTTCACAACTTGAAAATAATGCAATTTTAAAAAGTATAAAGAATTTTTATTACCTTGAACTCCACTTGCTGCTACAACCATAGCACCATCAAAAGTGGATTTGCCATCTTTATCTTTCTTAAGGGATTCTGGAACTAATTTGCTGCCATGCTTCTTCACATGTGGAGCCAGCTCCCTTCCGACACAGCTTGCTATAGAACATACTCCTTCAACTGCCATAAAACAATGGCATGCAGATTATTTAGTAAGAACACAGAACATCTTTCCTTAAAAATCTTTACTCCTAATTAGAAGAAAGCTTCACTGAAGTTTTAAGTGTTGCTTCTATTTAAATATGCTTATTTGAAAGACAGACTTTAATCCACACTTAAGTACCCAACTGATACAGAGCAACCTTATTTTTCAGATTCTGCACAGCTTCAGATATTAAGAAACAAGTAAGGTTGATCTTATGGCTAAAAAGTGCTTTAAAAAAAATACATACACATCTCACACTTCAAATTTCAAGAAACTGATTCCATTGCCTTGTTATCCCCAACTTGCAGATAGGGAACAAGCTGCTGCTTTCCTGACTTGTCTTCTGTAGAAGACTTTCTTACAATCATTCCAGCTCTTCAAAGTAGTTTTATAACAACCAGCACAATTTCCTTTAAAACTTGGTTGAGTCACTAGACAGTAAATATGAACATTATATGCAATAATGAAATTAAGTTACTGAGAGCTGTTAGGGTTGCCAAGCACCTCTGAACACCAGACCATTCCTACCTGGAAATTTATATGTAGTCAAACAGATTTGTTTCAGGTGTATGAGTTTAAAAATACATACAGTGACAAGAGAGCTTTTAAAATACATGGTTATCAACTTAAGAAAAGAAAGAGACAATATTCAAATTAACTGTCTAAAACTTTCAAAAGCATGTCAAACTTAAGACTATACACACTATTGTTTTAGGAACAAAAAAGATATCTTGAGGCCAAGTAATAATTACTAATCCTGAAGCATGTCTGTTGCAGGAGGTAACTAGGCACAAACTACTGTTCTCTGGATTTCATCAGGTCAGTTCCTCCACCCGTTAATTGGCTAGAGAAACCAGCTCTCATTTTACGAGGTATTTATTATTTAAGGCAAACAATATATATATTATGAGATGGAAATTTTTACCTAAGAATTGGCTGACTTTCACAGCTCCTCCAGTAGCCTGTTTTGCTACATGAAGTCCCTTTGCTACAGTTGGATTGACTTCCACAGGTTTTTCTTCTGGTTGAAGGTGTTCTCGCAGTTTAGAAGCTCCTTTGTGAATAGCTTTACCAGTATATTCTGCTCCTTTCATTAGGCCCCAGCTTACCCAAGATGCACCTAAAAGGCAAAAATTGCTTTTCTTAGAATGTACAATTTTACAGATTACGATTCCTACAGCTACCCCTCCTCTACCTCTGCAACACTGACTTTAGAAACAGTCCTGATTACATAGTCTGCATTTATACTCTTCCCTTAATGGTCCAGCATGAATTCCTACATTAATTTCTGCTCCTAAACCACTGCTTTTGAAATTAATTTTATTTAATACAGCCAGCCTTCATCCAAATGTCAGCTTAATACAGATAATAATTTTTTTACATATATCCAAGCCCCAGATAGGTGAGAAGTGATAGAATGGCACATCTCAATGCTATTAACACTCATGAAAACATGCAACCTAATCCTCTAGCCCTCCTTGCAGATTCATATTTATTACAGTCAGATGGTGGTCATTAGTATATTCCAAAGGCACTCAGAGGAAAAAAATCCACATGTTTATCTGCAGAAATCACAACAGGTGCCTGCTGTAATATAACTGCTCATACAGGGGTAAAACTGTTCTGCAAAATGGTCTGAGTCACAGGGGGTGATATCCTAACAGTGACACATGAGGAGCCAGATTGATTTGCAATGAACAAGACTGTTGGCAATGGATATATATTCTGCACTGTTTTTATAAAGCTCATCAAGGCATCCTTTAGATGACCACAACTGGAACTAGTGAACAACTACTTCTGACCACTCAGCTTCTACCAACACACACGCATTTAGTTGAAAATACTGTTTAAATGTCACTCACAGAGGTTTATATTCAACACAGTGCTCTTATTACAACAGTACCTGACAAGATACCATGGGCAACCTTCTCACTCCACTCTGGTAACTCTTTCTGATTTTCTGCTCCTTCAGGTTGTGGTTGGATATGTACAGTCTGAGGCAAGTTAACTGCATCACTAGAGGCTTCTGAAGGCTGACAAGTGAAAGCAAAACATCGGAGAATCTACTTCGCAGCTTATCATCAGGATCATACAACATCCATTATCAAATAATATTAATGTTGTGCATGCCTTGGGGAAGTGTGGAGAAACTCAAGGGAAATTTAAGACACAATTACTTTTGCACCAAAATGCTACACATCCAGAAAAGCTTATCAGATAGGTCAGCATTTTTCCTACACTTTCTTCATCCAGCTACAATGAAAAGATTTGCTTGCCAATATAGACATATGGTCAAGGAGCTGAGTAGGAAAAATTTACAGTACAAGTTCACTAGCAAAACAGATAAGAGACTTGCCCATCTATCATTTTTATCTTAGAGAGAAGTCCACTTTGTTGTTATTCAGCATAAGAACTGCAGTCTTTGGTCAGAGAATCCAGCTGCACTAAGGGAATGCAGCTGTCCTGATTGTTTTTTTTCCTCATCCTTTCCTCCCAAATTAAAAAATAAAGGACATTATTCATGCTGTGTGCTGTTTATGCTTTTGCAGACTGGCACAGCCAAGGCACACACAGTGCTGTGCATGATACTGCTCCCTATTTAAAGCCGGGTGGACAGGTTCTGTGTGATTTCGTGTCAAACACTACAGTTTCTGGAGTAGATGTTAATCATTCAAACACAGCAACCACCAACACAGGCCATTTAGTGTTTCTAATAAGTGTAACATCACTTTACACATATCACAGACAACGTACAATGAAACTTTAATTACAGAAAGCAAAAAAATTGTAATAGATCTAGGTTTTTGTTAAGATTCGATTTTTAGAACTTTTCCAATGTAGAAGTAAATGAAAACCCAAACCATTTCAAAGATTGAAAACACTGCTAGTCAATGACAGATAGAAAGAAGTTTTTGTTTAGATTAAACCCATTGGCAGAACAGAATACACAATATAGAATATTTGCTATTACATGGAATTCCCCTGAAACATTTACTGGACATAAAGCAGGCTATTGCCCATAGCTGACTGCTGCAGTAAAACAAAACCAAACCAACATTAACAGAAAAGAGTACACTAAAACTTAGAAGGTTGCTACCCAGAAGGTTAACACTGTATCACTGACATATCACAATTACTGCTTGACAGCAGTGTGAAATGTTGTGTTCAAGAAACGTTTTCAGCATGTGACCAAATTACCTCAATAAACAGCTATAGGTAAAACCCAACCAAACAAATAAACAATTAAAAGACCCAGACTATGTTCCAGATGTTATTTAGTTACACCACAGTTTGGGTCACTATGTAGAAAAACTGTCAACAAGACTTCTGAGGACTATACTAAGGAACAGAAATGGATTCTCTAATAAGACAGGTGACTCACTACTATAATTATATTAAATATAGTTGTCAACTAGATCCTCATGAATACCATGTAAAACAGACACATTAAATGGCTATCAGACTAGGCTTTGAAATATTTGTGCTATATCACAGTTTTCAAAACTGCTGAAATATGCTGACTTGAAAAATGTGGTAGCCTGCAATAACTGCAATTGCTCTTAACAAAAAACAACCAACCAAAGCAAAAAACCAAAAAGCCAAAACGACCCAACAAAAAAACAGCCACAGAACACAGCATACATTGCTGCTGTCAGTCAAATCAGCTGTTCTAACATGCATTCCAGTGACTATTTTATTTTGTTTACTATAAATTCTGGAATCACTGTCCTGGCGTTTACCTGGACTTTGTGGCCAGACATCTGTTTAAATTTATCTTCAAAATGCGCTCTCTCAGTTGCTGGGAGCTCTGAAGATAACCCTAATTTCTCATGGGATCCTGGCACCTGTGACATCGTATCAGGGAACATTAACAAAAACACGAAGTTTTAGGACAATAAGGAGCTAATGAGATATCAAATTTGAACCCCTACTACGCAGGAAAAATGACAGCATTTTATCCATTGAGTCCTGCACTGAAATAGCCCATAATTCTGCAGTACTTTCCCCTTTTAAGTAAAAATTAGTGGCCACCTGTGCTAGTGAAATCCCCTGCTGAACTCGACAGGATTTATACCATAACAGAACTCCACCCTCATGGCATGCTCCAAACTGGTCCATCATCACTGCATTCAACTCTTGGTTGATTCAACAAAATTCTCTCTTTCATGAAAACACATAATCTTGCTATGAGCTCTTAAGTAGTTATGGATTACCACTCTTCTGAAATGGTGCTCCTGTAATCTTACAATAACATTTTGCACCTTGTTTTCAGTCACTGTATGTTATCGCACCTTTGTTAGATTATGGGTTTTTTTCCCTGTTTTCTCTACCTGTCAATATCGTACTGCAATAAGGCACCAGATTTATCTGAGATCCTATTTGAGGCAGATTTTTGAAGTACACACTATTTTCACAGATCTTCTCTGAGGCAGCTTACCATTTTTGAACTGTAAACACATTTCGGCACCATATTCCAAGAATGGTATCATCCATCATAATTTGTGTGCATGTGTGTGTGCGCACACAGGGAAAAACATGCTTTCTCCTGAACCCCAAATTTTATTTTGGGTTCTATGTTCTCTTTTGGAAAAACAGAGAAAATATACAAAATGGTCTCAAACTATGGTCTGTGCTTACAAATCAGTATTTTAGAAATTCTGTACTCCCATGTCACAGGATCTACGGTTTCATTACACAGCTGCTTAATCTTGGCCTACTTTATCTATTTCTCACTGGTCAGTTTACCAAGCAAGACACAAAAATTTGCAGTTGTACACAACTAAATGTAAATGTGAGAATATATTGATGACTTATACCTTTTCTTATTGGTATAAAGAGGCACCTCAGAAATTTACCTGGATTCGAAGGTCAGACATCTGTTTTAAGAGATCCTCAAACAGCTCTTTGTCAGCTGCTGGAAGTTCTGAAGACAGCACTACTCCTACATAGGACCCTGGTATCTGGGACATTGTGTCAGGGAACATGTAGACTCCAGTACTGCAGCACAGAACAGGAGACTGGTTACACATTAGAGGATACAACCAGTCACAAACCTAGAAAAGATAAGTACATGAAGTAATTAAAAGATGCTTTTAAAAAGAAAGACAGACAGAGCATAGTGATAAGCACCACAAACTTGATTTTCCATAAAGTTTCTACTGAAAGGTTCCCTGCTGATGGCAGAGGTGTTGGAATTAGATGATCTTTAAGGTTCCTTCCAACCCAAACTATTTTATGATTCTATGATGAAAAATAAAAAGTCTTATGCCATCTTTTAAAAAACAAAAAAAAAGAAAAACAATCCCAAGAAACTACAACCCACATGACTCTGGAAATACAACTCTTCATTAGTTCTGACAGTCTAATATAGAGAAAATATTAATTTTCACAGGACTGTAATTCAGGCTGGTACCCTCTTAACTGAGGTCTAGTCTTGAGGTATAGAAGTCAATGAAAAGAACTGCCAAACAAGTCAGGATTCACAGTGCCTGTACCATCCTGTAGAACTCAGGGCAGGTTTATATGATAGGATAAATAAAATGTATGGCTGTCGCTGGCCTACTGCTGAAGACTGCTAACATAGGTGGAGCTGAACCAGCAGACTCAAAACCAGGAAGTATTTTTTCTGTATGAGACTTCCAAGAGCCAATCTTAGCAAACACAAGGAGATCCAAAGTCAGAATCCACAACGTTCATTACAGAACATGCCCACATGAAGCAAGCAAGGACTGAAAAAATACAGATAATGCATCTTTTTTATTTGTAGTTCAGAATCTGTACTAACATGGGCCCTCAAATTCCAAATTATCAGTCGCCCTAACTTCAATACCTTATCACTAAATGAGAATGAAGTGGGTAGTTTGCAAGCCCAATTGACGCTGACATGTTACAGTACGTGAATCAACATGTCTTCTCTATGTGAAGGAAGAGAAGTTAATTTTATGAAATGAAAAGACGCATTCAGTCAACTCCTTTAGAAACTGGGATTCACCAGAACAGTCAGCACTTGACAACCTTGGGAAGACACAGAGGTACTTTTCACAGAAAAAGTCATAAAAGTGTATACTTGCACAAAACCATTTCTGCAACATCTATAACATTCTTCATATTATCACAAAGATATTTAGACTTTGAAGAGCAAGAACTTAGGAAGATTTCCTGTTAAGAGTTTTATGACAGTTCTTGAAATTTTAATTAAAGGCAAAAGTTATTTTCCTGTTACCTGAAGAAATGCAGGTGGACGATTCTGAGCTGCTTCACTATCTGTATCCAAGAACTTCACAATGCGTAGATATCCAGGATATGAAGGAGCACTAACCTGCCCATCAGGAGTCACAAAAAATATCTGTACTCCTTGGGGAATCAAGATCAGCTCATCTGCATCCACTCCCAGGTTTTCCAGGGGAGGTGGCTGAGTACACTTGTTGTAATAGTCCTCACCTACAGAAGAAAACTCTCCAGAGTCTGTGCCATAAGACACAGTAAAATGGCCATTGGTAGCTTGAGGAGTATAGGCAGGAGGTGCTTCATTTGGTAGACAGAGAGGTTTTCCAGAGGATGGACTCATAGCTGGAATTTGACCCTGGCTCACAGCTGCAACACCTCCATCTGCTGCGGATGGTTGACTTCGTGCAAACAGAGAATTAGGGGCAGGTGGTCTTTCTGGCTTTTCTTTGGAAGGAATGGATGGATATAACTTGGGTACCCCAGGAGGGGCATCCATCGTAGCAGGACTTGCTTCTAGAGGTGGGGTGTTTTGGTCTAGACTGCTGAGTCGAGCACGAACATTTTGCAGGGTCTCCCTCATCTTCTGCTGCATTTGCCTGGCAGACTCCCACTGGGACCCTACACATGCAGGACCCTCTGATGGAATACTAACTCCTCGGAGCAAGTGGTCAAGCCCTTTCTTATAGTAACTTCTTGCCTCTTCCTTCTGACCCAGTTCATCTGTATTCAGTCCTTTATTGATAAAAATAAAGGCTTTCCTGTACTCTTCATTAATAGCTTTAATATTTGCATCTTCTTGCATAACTGGATCCTGCAGTTGTTCCATTACTGCAAAATGAAATAAAAATCAATAAAAACATTCATCAATAAAGCCAAACGATGTTTACCTTAGAATAAAATGTCTTCTTAATGATAACCATACTGCATGTATTAGCAGAAATCTATCTGTTTGCTTGGGACAGCATCTGATATATTATGGTTATCTCCTAATAACATTCACATTGACATGATTCCAAGGCAGCAAGGAATCTACAACCATCAAATCTAGTTACATCAAAGACATTTATTTCTTAAAAGTTAAACATCAGAAGAACATGGACATGCCTGATATTAAAACTTTCATCTTAAAGATCAGTAGCAAACAGAGGAGTAAACAAATAACTTAAAAAATTTAACTTTTCCAAAAACATCTCTAAGGTATTAAAAAATTCAGTTAACATTTTGTCTATTTAAATGAAGGCTGAACTAACAAACAGTACATTTCTATTTGAATAATTTAAGAGAAAGCACTCAACATATTTAAACAAATCTTGATCAACTTCAGCTAACATCAATACACAGAACTGGGAAATACTTTGAACAGTTAAAGCTGTGCTTTACAGAATGAAAACAGGGAATTACTTATTTCCTTTATGGTGTTTATAGAGTAAGAAAAGACAATTTGTTTTACACTCCTTGCTCCCCAGGTGAAAAATAATTGAAAGTACCAAAATGTACAAAAGGTTGCAGGTTCTAGGTCTGTTTTGGACTGTATTCCTCAAACTGCCTCATATATTTCAACAACTGAAGGGCAGAAAAGAATATGGTAGGTTTATTTGAATTCTAAACTGTGTAAAATCATTGTTTTAATGGTATGCAGATTCTCAGTCTTGGCCAAATGCAGAAAATATAAATCATTCTTGGACTAAGATAGTGCTTACAACATACAATGTAAAAAATGCCAGTGATCTATTTTTTTGCTGGCAGCCATGAGAGGCATTGTCAATTTAGAAAAATCAGGTAATTATACTAGAAAAGACTGTACCATGAACAACAAAAATGTGATACTATATAAAAATTAAAGAGCATATATTTTCAAGCAAAACCATGATTCTCTGTGTAAGATGGATGAAAGAAAGGAGACATCTGTCAATCACAATATCAAGCTACACAAAACATTGGGGGTAAGTAAAATCCAAGCGCAAAAATAAAAATGCTGCCATTGCACATACAGAAGCACTAATGCCCCTGTGTGCAGCTCTGGTGAGAACTCACACAATGCTGAACGACACTCAAGGAAGCTGCGCCAGAACAGGAAGAGGTGTGCAGAAAGTTACTGATTTTTTCCGGATGAATCGATCACTTTTCCCTAGAGAGATGTAGGTTTGGCTTACCAAGCCAATACAACAAAGGCTAAGAGATTGGATTAGTCTCCACAAATATAATGGATGAAAAGAAGGAAGTAAATCAGTAAAGAAAAAAAAGAATTATTGAAATCCAAACTTTTTAATAAAATCCCAAAATAGTACCTGCTTTTAAGTTTATCTAATGTCTCTTCTTGCTTTAGTCTAATTACCAACAAAGTAAAAAAAAAATAAAATATATATATATATATATATATAAAATCTGGAAAATATCTTTCCTCTAGTCCAACAAATCCAGAGAAACTTAGGAAGTGCAGGTCATTACAAGATTTTTAAAGAGGCAAAGATGAAATGCTGTGCTCTACTCCCACACCCTTTATAATCAAAATGCAGACAGCACTTATATGACTGATGCATCTGCATCACACAACAGAAATGCCATGTCATCTGGAACGCATCTGTTCTCATGACATGACAGGATCCGATTTCATGCAAAAGACAAGATGTGTGGTTTCAGTCCAATGACAGACAGACATAGCTAAGAATATGACAGGGACAGCCTGAGAAGGCAACCCACATGGAGCAGATCAGCAGTGACTCAAGCCACTATGCTCACTGTTTGTTCCCCATCACGTAGTAGAAAAATGAATCTTGGGCTGTAGAAGATTTTTCCAATTGATTACAGTCAGTTACTGCCAACAGGCTCAGCATCTTTGATTTATACACTGGCATAAGTTTATATTTAATAACCTCCAAGGACATCAAGTTTTGAATTTATAAGCATGCTTCTGACAAGCACGACAGCAAACAATTATAATAAAAATAATTGGAAAGAACTCTCACGAGTTTGTGAATATAGCTGGGTCCTTACACAAAAGATTATACTTAATCATGTAATATATTTTATGATCTATACATGAACCATTTAGACATGTGTAACTGAATTACTTGGAGCAAAAGAACCCTGGCAACTACATCATCTTATGTCAATGCTTGTATTTACTACTGCAAAATCCACTTTTCAAGAAGAGCATAAAGGTGAAAAAAATTTAACATCAAAGACCTCTGATTTGAGAATTGTAGGTAGGCAAGCACAGAAAATGTTTAGAAAACAGAGAAAGGCACATTTTATCTCTCATCACAGTTACTTCTATATAAGCAAAATTTAGTGATTTGAGACTTTTATGCACGATTGGGTATACAGGCACTAAAGTCCTTTCTTAAGACTTCAAGTAAACAATTCATCTGTGTGAACACAACTGCAATTCCATAGTCTATTTGCCCCACGTATATTGATTTGTTTATTCTGGGTGAGGCTAAAGCGAAGATAATTTACAGATTTCAAATAATTCTTTTATAACAAGAAGAGACATCAAGTAAAATCCTGAAGTCAGAGCTACATTGCAACTGAATAGTTAACTAATTTACTATTCATTGTACACTTGTCATACTGTCAGCAGCACTGTTCTTGCTAAAGCTCAGTCTTTATTAACACCAGAAAAGGTCTGTAAGAAAACAGAGATGTCAGCACGATCAGTGTCCACACAGCATTAGTGCACAGCGGAGGTACAAAAGCTGGCTCAGCAACTTGGAAAAGTGGGATTGTTGCAACTCATCTCTGATTGTCAGAAGCATCCCAAATTCGCAGTATATGTGCAGTGTAGTTACTACCAAATTATGCATTTGGGTGGCAAAGCACTTGGAAATGGAGGAAGGAATTCACAGTAGATTTTAAGTTAAACACAACATGACTAAAAGCCCAAAGAATTGAATTTCATTCTCAGTAACTTATTAAAACTAATACAAAGTAATGGATGGTACAAAATAAGCATACTTACTTGCTGCCTCACAACACAACAATAAATATTCTCTGAAACAGAACACTGAAGTAGCAATCTGATCATATGCAAGCAATATCCTCAGTCATTACTATTTTCAATGTATGAACTTAATATAGTATTTAAGTGTCCTGCATGTTTTAGTATTTTTCTGTAATCCATTTCTGTACAATAAAGTCTCATTTCCTCTCTTTTAAAGCAAAGTGCATATGAGAGCACTGCAAGCCAACCTTTGGTCCTGGGCCAGTTCAGATCGGCCCAGATCTGTACTACTTAGTGCAAAATAAGATTTAGAGGAACTTGTCTTGGAGAAAGCAGGTCCAAAACTGAGCTAAGAAAAGAGCTAATGGGCATTGTAGATAATCACAGATCAATCCAGCGCTTGAGCTCATTCCATAGCCCTTTTTCTTTTATCAGTCCAGATATACTGTGGTTTTAAATGTCTTGACCAAAGGAGGCTACAGTGCAACAGGGAAACTTGAGTTTAATATTGTAAGCATCTCAACTATCTGGATAACCATCCTTCCTCTGAAGCAGAAAACCCACTTCATTAAAAAGTGGCACAAGGTAAACATGAAGCCTAAGACTTGAGAGGATTAAACATCCTGACTGACAGAGGTAAGACATTCTTAACAACTCACTACTTTTGAAACATGGGAGGTATAGGGGAGGAAAATGCAAAACAAACAAACAAAAAAATACCACCCTTAATCCAAGAGCTTTTCCTATTTGTCAACTGTTTTCTATCAGCCACTCATTAGGAGAACTACTATGCAGATAGAACTGTTTAAGCCTTATTTCTGTAGAGAAGGAGCAATTAAGAAAGTATTAGTAATTTTCAAGAATTTAAAGAACAAACTGAATTAGAATAAATGTTATGTGGAATTTAAAACAATAAAAGCCAGGTACTAGCTGATAAATTTACCTTTTCATGTTAAGAAGCCCTTAAATTTTTCACTAAGTGCTGGCCTACAGCTAGTTTTTAAGCACCTAGGGCTAGATGATATCACAGACTAGACAACAGAGAAAGTCAGTGATCTGATATACGACAGTAATTCTTACTCTCAAAATTACCCGATACTTCAGGAAACTCTTGTCCCCTGACATTTCAACCTACACCTCAGGTTGGTATCCCAGTACCTACATTCATACCCAGCCAGCAGGTCTAACTTTCCTCTTCTCAGTACTACTGCTGTCTCAAGCTGGTTATATCCAAGTAATTGAACTTCCTTCCCGACTCCTTGGTCTGTATCTCCATCACATGCTTTCAACGCAGAGCTTTTAGGCTACTTGGCGCTCCTCTAAAAGGGAAATTGAAAAACCAGTCGGGCAGATAACGCCCAACACAGACATCGTTCGGAGCACCGACGTACAAAAACATTGCCTACCATTCCATGGCCAAAGATTTCAAGGTCATCATGGAAAATTCAGTATTACATAAGATTGCTATTTAATACTTTTTCATTAGCTGTGTGCCTGCCAGTTTCTGACCATTGCCAACATTTCTACACATTCAGACAACTCAAAACTATCTAACACGAATCCTTTAAAAGAAAAAGACAAAATACAAGGAGCAGTTATACAAAGTATTCTGACAAATAACCTCTCGCGTCCATAAGGAGACACTCAATACATTATTTATCATCGTGGCTACTTCAACCTGCCCTGATCACGCCTCTCCCCGACCCTCCCTCCTTCCCTCCCTCCCACTTACCACCTACCTGCCCGCCGCTCTCCCGGCCGCCCCGCTGGGCTCCCCGCGGCTGCCCTGCCCTGGCCTGCTCCGTGCCCGTCCCGCCGCCCTCCGTCTGCCCCAGCTGAACCAGCGCCCGTGTCCACGGGCCCCCGCAGGCAACCGGCCTCACCGAGCCGGGCCCCGCCGCCGAGCCGAGGCGAGCGAGCCCCGCCTGCGCCACCGCCTCCGCCTCCGCCACCGCCTCCCGGGTCAGGCGGCAGCGGGCGGGGCCGCGGCTGTGGCGTCACCCAGGGCCCGGCGGAGGGCGCGGGGCCTGGCACCGAGGGGCGAGCCCCTTCGTGACCGACCGGGAGCGCCTTCCTAAGTCTGGCAGTGACATTTTATACAATTCATAAATAATACTGAATTATGCAATTTATCCTGTTTCTTCTTGCTGTTGTGTTGTTGTTTTGTTGTTTGTTTTTTTTTTGGGGGGGGGTGGGCGGGGCAGGCTACACAGATTAAAAATGAAAAATTGAAAGTGCAGAATTAGAAAGCAGTGCGTCTCATACTGTATCCATAATTAAACAGGTTTTTTAATGCTCTTGATGTTTGGAAGAAACAGATGTCTGCATGTTGGATTCACTTCCCCATAAATTAATTTCTCTGGGAACATGGAAGATAATGTCTCTTTTGTCTTCTGGTTTTTTGAGCTCACACCACCATGAAGCACTAATGTGTCAAACTGAAAACTAATGTATAGCCCCAGCGATAGCCAGTATTGTTTTTTCTATTGTTTTTCAGTGGCCAAGGGGCTTTGCCTTTGTGGTAAATTGCATCAGTAATTTGATTGCATGTAGTCTTTTCATCTTTGCTGTAACTCTCATTAGCTGTGTGTGTGAATGTGTGTACAAAAGCTCATATACCCAAATTCTAGCTAAATAATTGATACTAGTATCTAACAGTGGAAAAATAAACCCTAAAAGCTGTCATTCTGAAGATTAAAAGTCTCCCTTTTCATGTCAGGTTTTCAAATTTCATTTTGACTTTTACTTTAATTGTGCCAAAATGACTAGCTGCATTGTTTGGAAAGATGCCGTGTTTCCAGAGGTGGCTGTCTCAGGGTAAAACTTGTTTCCCAGCCTGGACAAGGTGGAGATGGCTATCACCCTGAGTGCTGGGCTGTGGGACAGGGGAGCTGCATTTGTGCACTGATGGTGTCAAAAAATCCCAAAGAAAAATTATCTCAGTAAATTTCCAGCACTTGCCTTAGAACATGAACTTCCAACTTCTCGGTGAAACAGCTGTTAGAATTTCTGAATATAATCTGGCAGTATATTATTGCTTTGCAACTTTGATAATCAGTGCTAAAAATCTTCTGCAATTTGACTTCCACATAGAAAATTTCTAACCAGGTTAAATCTAGCAAAGGTGCATTCTGTGGTGCATGGCTCTTTACCTGAGCTAGCTTTTAATGAACTTGCTGCGTCCTGGGCATGTTGAGGCCCATTAACTTGCTTTCTCAGGTACTGTCATGTGCATGCTGACTGTGAATCAACCTTTGACACACTCAGGACCACAGAACATAGGAAATTCAAAGTAAATATTGTGTTTAGGTAGTGGCAGCCCTGTGCATCACTGCCCTGGCAGATGGGTTTACCTCTTAGCTTCATTTAGCTCCGAAATATCTCTGGAAGTTTGTTACACATTGTAGTTTCTAGCATAATGTTTATCTCGGAATTCTCTGTTCCAAACTTTTCACATGCCCACTCTTCACTTCTTTTCCTGCCAACAAGAAACAGAGAGCAACCTGGAGGAGAGATGAGCTGTCCACAAAATCAGGAAGAGTTCCTCTCTTCAAACACCAGTGAGGGTAATATAGTAAGGATGATGTTTGTATATGAAGCAGTATGCATACAGATGAGGGTTTGGACAGGTGGAGAGGGCCATAAACATTTGTTTAAACAGATGGTAGGATGGGCTTGGGTAGCTAGATATCCTTGAATTACATTATGTGCATATATGCAAGATTTGCAAGGAAATAAAAACCAGTTTTGTGATGAAGAGTGGTACTCTCTTCTGAAACAGTCCTGCAAGTCAATAGAGGGACATTTTAATTTTTTTTTTAAGCATGCAGGGGGTATCTTTACCAACACTGTTTCGTAGTAGCAGGCCTTGCAAGGTCCAGAAGTCGGTAAAGGGCACAGTAGTGCCACAAGCGAGGGAGGGATGAGCTGGTCAAGTGTGCATCAAAGCCACCTAGCTGTGTGCTCTGAGCTGTCAGGAGCATGCAGGCACATGGCCCTGACAACCTTTCCTTTCACCAGATGCTGCTCTGCCATATCAGCCCCCCTCACAGGGCAGCTTGTATCTCCTGTGAATTTATATAAGCCCTAGTACTTTTGCTTTAAGTCAGAATTAGACTGAGGGATGAAATGCTATCACTACATGTTCCCTTCTATAGCTATAGAAATAAACTGCTCTGCCTCACCTGAATCTGCAAAATTTAAACGGTATGTTTATTCTGCAAGTCTTCAACCTCATTTGTAAATGCTAACTCTGCTTGTGGTAAGTGATTTCAATCTTAACCACCACCGTGGGCTTGCTTAATTTTTGTCTGCGCTTTCGCAAAAAGAATTTTTACTGAATATCTCCTTTATTTAAGTTCTACATAAGCTAGGCAATATCTGTACTTATGTATGTATTTAGGTATATAAGCATGTATATATCCAAGTTGTTTAAACGTCACAAACAGTAAAATCACTGAGGGACCTCAAAGTGATCTGTCAATGTTAGCAAAAAATGGGGGGTTAGGCTGAGAATAAAAAATATGTGATAATTCTCCAAAACCACTTACTAGTATGCAAATAAATTTAATTGACTCACACCAAATGTCCGTATGACTGTAACCTGGTTACACATCTGATAGGAATCATGCTTCGTAGACAGAGTGCTTTTAGTCAGCAGACCCCCAAATACTGATGGAAGCAAAATAAATCACTGTTGTGTGGGCAGAACTGAATATATAATTATTCCACAGGTTGTAACAATAGTAAAAACTTTTGTGGTAGATGAATAGATGATCTCACTGTAATAATCAACTTTTTTCTGACTTCAAACTCCATAACCATTTGCAGATAAACTGTCCTGAACCCAAGTGAGGAAATGGCAATAACAGCTGTCTGACAAAGGTAATATTGCACCTTTTTAAAATTATGCCAGCCACTGACCTCCGAGTGAACTGGCACTTCGTTAAGGTGCAAGAACTTGTCTTCAGAGCGTATGTGCAGTGTTGATAGCGTTGAGCTACAAGCAGGGGTAATGCACTTGACAACCTGGATGGCAGAAGAGTGTGAAACATCTGAAAAGGCACCTACCTCCTTAGACAATCTCCTCTAGTATTCCCACTCCCAAAGGGTGATGGAATAACCTGCCTGGTAACAGTACTGCCTTGGGAAGGAGGAGGCTCTACCAATTCAAAGACACAGATACAGGTCCAGATACCATCTCTGCATTGCATTTGACCACTTGCCAAGCTGCAGACATTTTGTGCAAGGTTTTTTCCTGCCCTTCACTGAGAGCAGTCATTTGCATGTGTGTAATCCTTAAATCTGTTTCCCTAATCTGCTGTATTCTTGTGTTGAATAGGAGTACCCTCAGAGTAAGCACAGAAAAGGTAGACCATTTTATGGGACCCCAGATTTAACATTTCTTACCTTCAGAGGTTCTACAAGCATGGTCCTCAAGTCCAGCCCAAGGAAAACTTTTCTGGAAAGGGATCAAAATGCTCTTGTGGGGTCTGCTAACAGCAGGGCCTGCAGCAATGAGGATAGAAATATGAGAACTAAGGAGACAGATGAGGGACCAGCTTAAATTGACTGGGAGTTCAGTTTGTTAATTCAACAGTACATAAAGTTGACAAAAATGGTCAGAAATTGACAAAATGGTTAGAAGAGGAAATACCAGGGAAAAACCTGGCTCTATAAAGACTAGTGGTAACAAAGCTCTTCTGTTGGATTGTTTATAAACACATTTCTGCCAGGACAGACGGATGTAAAGCTGGGCACCACAAAACTCAAGTTATTCATACATGTTGATTACAATATTGAGATGCTGCTTGTTCAGCTCAGAGAAAAGATAAATTCAAATGCTGATGGAAGTCAGTATTTCATCATGCCCCTTTATGGCACTTTGGAATACTGGCTACTTTATTAGATAGCAGCTATGTGTTTTCCAGAATGATTTTACATACTGTCATACTGCAGAAGGCAGCAGAGGTGGTGAAATATATTTATTTCAGCACCAAAGTTGGAGGCGCACTTTGCACTTCATAAGTGCACTTCATTAGTCTGGGAGTGAAATTTTTTACAATTAATAAGTACTGTATTTTGCAATTTATCCTCGTTTTTTTGGTTGTTGTTTTAGGGATTTTTTGGGGGGGAGAGGGGGCATAAGGCTACACAGAAGATTAAAAATGCAAAACTGAAAGTGCAGAATTAGAAAGCAGTGCATCTCATACTGTATCCATAATTAAACACTTTTTAAACACTCTTGATGTTTGGGAGAAACAGATGTCTGCATCATAAATTAATTTCTCTGGGAACAAGGAAGATAACTTCTTTTTTGTCTTCTGGTTTTTTGTGGCTCACACCACCATCAAGCACTAATGTGTCAAACTGAAAACTAATGAATAGCCCCAGTGATATCAAGTGTTGTTTTTTTTCTATTGTTTTTCAGTGGCCAAGGGGCTTTGCCTTTGTGATAAATTGAGTTAATAATTTGATTGCATATAGTCTTTTCATCTTTTAATAAGAAGCTGTAACTCTCATTAGCTGTGTGTGAGTGTCCATGTGTGTACAAAAGCACATATACCCAAACTGTACCAGTCCAAAATCTTATTGGCAGAATTAAGGCCCTGTGATATAATGTATGTAAGAATAATTTTCATCAAGATTTTGCCACAGATGATGTGGGAAAACACCTCTTTTCCTAATGATTTAGATAAGGCAATCTGTGACCCTGCCCGTGGCAGTTCTGGCTTGTTTTCTTCTAATCTCAGCTCTTCACAATTTGAAACTCAGACTAATCTCCTGTTGCTTGAATTAAAATGGGTCTGATGGCTGTTATTTTGTAAATAACAACATGTATTCTTGCATCTTCCTTTGATAAATCTGGTATTGACCAGTTTTTGGACTAGAGAATTGTATTAACTTGTCCTGTGCAAGGATATATGTCATATTTTGTGTCC